TAGAAATGTTCTAATAATAATAATAATAATCAGATTCAGAGAGAACTGAAAGACAATTTTACAGCATGTGTACAGCCAAACAACAACAGCAACAACACAAAAACAAAAAACAACCCCTCCCCCCTTCTATAGATCACTACTGTCTATTATCTATGAATTCCTGGGCAATCAGATATAGCTGTCATCCCAGATCCTTTGTGATTATTAAATCTCATTCAAGCTGATGTGGTTCGGGCTTTACGTAGAACAAATCTAACATGACATATAAGGAAGAGGCAGGAATGTCAAGGCCAAGCCTACATGGTTCACTGTTTAAGCCACTACTTTTTATTTTTGCTGGTTAAACTGCCTCCATTTTCAACTATTGTCATCCAGACATTCACGCTTGGGTACTACAGCTTGGATTCTAGGGCAGGATGTACTACTTAATTGACTGGAAAATGTATGGGCCAGAGGAAAGCTCTTGACAATCTGCTGAAGCCATTTTCATCAAGGGCACCTGGATGAGCAGAGGTCAAGTGCACCCTTCAGGAGGGAGTGGCAATGACCCAGCTGGGTCCTCTTCCTTTGCCATCCAGGCGTTAATTCTATCACCTCAATGTGGCAAATGCAAGCAAATCCTAGAGACAGGTTTTCTTTAAAAATTGCTCTTCCAAGTGCAGAAGAGCCTGCATGTAGAATACAGTCATTATTTGTCAGTTTCTTTAATTTAAGGTAGCTAACAATAAGTCACATTTTTAAATAAGTCAGCCATAGTACTGGTAACCCCAAAGCCATCCTATTAGAACTTTCCATTCTATGCAGTGTTTCTCTGCAGGCTTTGCGCTCTCCACGCTGCCTTTTGTGGCTCCACCAGCTCTCTGGATTGCATCATATACATAACCGTTTTGTGTGCATCTGATTCTGGCTCTGTAGCCAGTGGTAATTCTTTAAGAAAGTTCCTTATTGCAGGTAGGAAAAAGCTTAGATGCATAAGTCTTATGCTTTTGATACTAACAGTTCATGGACAGAAATATACACACAGAAGTGTAGCTAGAAAGAATATTATATACATCCCCAATGATTGTAACGAACTGATGCATGCATTCTGGAATAAGCTTTTATAGGTTATAGTCTAGTTCATCAGAGGCTTTTATTCAATATTTGTGGCACTGGGAATTGCAAGTAGTGAGGTCAGAAGGAAATTAAATGTCAAAAAGACAGTACTTAATTTCCTTCTGATCTCAGTTTACATATGTGTTGTATTTAAAATAGAGTACAGTAGAAAAAATAGAAACTTTTTCAAGTTACTCCATATAAATTCACAAAAGGTTATGCCAGGAGATGTGTGTGTCTTTAGGTGCCACAAGTCTCTTTATTGTTTTGGATGCAGTAAGCTAACATGCCTCCCCCTCTGGAAAGAAATAATTGGCTATCCATTCATTTATTTGAAGCCCCACCTTATGCATGTATGAGAACTGATACATACATACTGGCTATAGCCCTTTCTAACTTTCAAACTCCTGATTAAAAGGATTCGATATATTCCCAAACCGTCAACAAGAATGGAGACTATGATTGGCTTTCTAATGGAGGGATCCATCCTAGGCCTCCTAAACAGTATCTGAGGGGCCACAGGAGAGCTCAGGTCTCCCATTCCAAGGCTGAAGACTGCGCTGCCACCTCAAAGGTTGGGATTGGAGTTCCACCCGCTTCACCTTGCAGACAGTGCCGAAGGACATTCAGTGGCTTCTCTCTAAGGCACGGGTCCTCAGACTATAGCCGGGGTCCGGATCTGGCCCGCCATGCCCATTTGGACCCGCCACTGCCCACCTCGCCCTGCGCACAGGGAGGCAGCGGTTTGCTCACTCGGAGAAAGCGATCTCCCTGTGAGCAAGCTGCTGCCTCGTGCGCCCGCCTCCCTTCCCCTCGCCGCATGCACGTGCCCGCATGCGCCTCACCTCGTCTTGCCTCATCGCGCACCCCGCTTCCGCGCCAGCCCACACGCGCCACTGGCACCACCTTTCCAGTCCACGCCCAGCACTGGCACCTTTGAGGTCAGGCAAACAGCCCCAGAGAGGGGTAAAAGGGGGCATTCTGGTGGGCAGGGAGGAGAGGAGACTGGAGGTCAGAATACAAACTATCCTGACACCTCTCCAGTCTGTTCTTCTCCTGGAGATTGGGGGAAAGCCTTTCCAGCAAAAATACAGGATAGGAGGAAGGGGACATGAAGATCACCTCTGCTGGCCCCTCTCTCATTTCTGCACTGGATGATCATAAGCTTCCAAGTTCTGGGCATTATGGGTATGGTGATAGGACTGTACCCTGAACCTACTGAGCATGCTTGCCACAGACCTTTTACACCTCTCCATCTCGCCTTTCTGACTCCAGTAATCCTCCGATAGTTGAAACCAAGCCTTGTCCTTTGATTCCTAACCCTCCGGCAAAGCAGAAGGAACAGCTTCAGAAGTAGGTTGAAAGAATGTGGTGAACTTACTATTGTTGGCAAAGTGCTTTGAGTTCTTAGGATGAAAGGTACTCTTGAATGAAAAATACTAATGATCTTAAACAAGATGAGTTTTTTTTTTAGAATCTATCTTCTTTACAGTTCCACCTCTTTTGTTCTTTGTTCACTTTCTCTTTTCTTCCTCCTTAAACGGTAAGTCGCCTTTTTGGCTATTAAATATTCCACAGGAGAATCACTCTTAGAAATTAGCCTACAAGCACCATTGTGTGAGCATAATTGGGTCTGCACTATAATATTTTCCTTCTTTCATTTTTGATCAACTGTGATGTGCCATGAATAATTAATAGTCAGCATCTCTATATTGGCATTGCCAATCAGGAGCATGTGCCTTTTAACTTTCTTTAATTACACCTTCCTTGTAGTTTTGCAGCCACTTATTAAGAAAAATGGCACAAGCGCTACTATAAATCACCATTCTTGAGGTTTAACCCAAATAAATGTCTATGTGTTGCATAATATTATAGTATAACAGTATTAGCTGTCTGCTTACAGATTTAAGAGTTACACAGAGCATACACAGTGACTAACAACTACTATCTTAATTTTCAACACACATGACTGAAGTTTAATTGAAAACACTGGAATTTTGTCCATACTTGGAGATTTAATTATTTTCAGAATGATTGTGGCTGTATCTACTCAGAAGTAAGTAGCACTCATTAGAAGTATCATTAGTAAGTAGAAGTATCATTAGCACTGAATGGGACTTATTCCTGGGTAAGTAGATGTAGGATAGCAACATTGCGATGTTATGGCTTGCTTGTCTGAAAGCCAGAGCAAACACTAAAGCCCTACCTGCCTTTGTTCTCCAGACTTGTCATGTAGCTCACGGTGAGAAAAAGGGAAGGGCCAAATGTCATGTTTACTTTGCACAGATGCATGCTAGGGTTTCTTGGGTCTTGTGGCTTTATTATATTTTTAAGAAAGCTTCCAAGCAGTCTAACAACTGGTGCCCTTCTCTAATTTGTTCTGCCTGCAAGAGCCGCATTACATTTTTCTTTTATGCGTCTTTAACTTAAACTACCAGGAGAAGCAGGGTGTCCTCTAAGATCCTGAGAAAGAATCCATCACATAGCCCAAATCCATCTCTTCTGCTGATTTACTAGTTTTGTGTATCAATGAAGTTCAGCTCAGCTGCCTGATCAAACACAGTGTTTTATTACCCAGGAATTTCATAACTTCAAGGTTAGAGCAAGGAGTAAAGGGAAACAGTGTAGATCAAATTCTAGAGCACATCCGTCCTGCATAAATGCCGCAGAAGAGATGACCTGCTGGGACTTACCTCGAGGTACACCACCCATGGCATCACCAGTGTCGCCACGAGCAGGTCCGCTACGGCCAGGCTCACCACAAGGTAGTTGGTGGTAGTTTGCAAACTGCGTTCCCGCAGCACCGCCAGGCAGACCAGGACATTCCCAAAAATGATGGCCAAGATCAAGATGCAGTAACACAGGGCATAGTAAGCATGAGGCTGTGCCAGTCCAGGTCCTGTGATGTTATCCTGCCAGTGCGGGGCAGATACAGTTGAGTTCGGACAGCTACTAATTCTGTTGAAGGGTGTCATTGTGGGAGACAAGCAGATCTGCAAAAGAGAGACACCTTCTGACCATTTGGGTGGAGCACTTGGAATAAAGCTTGTGTTTAGGTTTTACCAGCACTGTTCTGCCAAATTATTCTGCTGGTTAGGAGTCAAACCCAGAACAGTTACTTACTTCTTGAGTAGATCAGTGGTTTCATCAATTCCTTAATTACTTTGATTGTGAGGTGTAGTGGTTAGAGTGTGGGATCGGGACTCAGCAGATCCTGGTTCTAGTCACCATGCTGCCATGAAGCTTACTGGGTGATTTTGGGCAAGCCACAGAACTCTCAGCTTAGCCTACCTCACAGGGTTGCTGTGAGGATAAAATGGAGAGAAGGAGGACCTTGTAAGCTACCTTGAGTTCCTTGCAAAAGGAGAAAGGTGAGGTATAAATATGCTGCTGCTGCTACTACTACTAATAATAAGAATCATAATAATTGTGTACTGGTTTGTTGTTTTGTTAACCAAGGTAATATAGCTTGGAGGAAAGTGGCACTTGTGGAACAAAATGACCCTAGGCAGAGGGGTATTTTTACATAGTGATCGGGTTCAGACAACACTATAAGCCATGATGGCTGAGAAGCTAAGATGGCTTGTTGTATCATCTGAACCAAGCAGCATGGTTAGCCATGCACAAGCCATTCTGGTCAGGCCTCCCCCTGATGCCAACACAGCTAGGAGCCATTTTTGGCTTACTGCTGCTTTTTTTTCTTTTAATTTCATGTTTTGAGACCATGAGAGACTCTTGCCAAGCCAGCTTTTGTGAACCCAATGACCCATTCCAAAAACAGTCCTTCCACTGTCCACCAGCAGGTTCTTTGAAGGGTTGCCCGGGTTAGCACTGTGTGTGTGTGTGTTTGTCTGCATATATTTGCTATTATTATTTTTCAAAAGTTCTTGCCACCTGCTTGTCTCTGGAGGTGCCAGGAAGCATCCTGGACTGGCTCAGGGGCGAGGGGGTGCCTGCTGGCAGTGCTCCATTCGTCACGATTGCTCCAACCCCCACGCCCTAGGGAACCCCATTAACTTTGCACACTCCTGGGGTGGTATCATCTTGGGGAAAAGTGCCAAAATGGGGGGGACACCGGGGAGACATCAGCTCTCCCAAAAACTCCAGTGGCCTTGCTGTAAAAAGATGGGGGCACGGCCCCCTTTTGCATGCCATGATCTCTCCAAGTTCTTGAAGTATTAGACAGTTCAGCTTGACAGATGTCAAAACAGTGGGGAGAGCTACCGACCTGCAGCCTGGGGTGGGCACTCAGCAAGAGAGTGTCTGCTGTGCTTTGCACCCAACGGTCTCCACGTGAGAAAGTTAATTTGGGTAACGTTAACTTGCAACAATTCATTCGGATTTTAAATACTGCTCTTTGGCAGCCCCTCTGAGGTACATCTTGGAGGAAACACTCTGGACTGGGTGAATTGGGTCATGTAAACTGGCTTAACAAGCAGCTTGTGTGAACTCAAAAATTAGTAAGTTTTAAAGAGGAAAAGGGGCTGTGGGAAGCTGAAAATGCCTTGCTATTGCAGCGGGCAGAGGGAAACCTTGGTGCACGTGTGGGGTCCCCTGGGATACCTGTGGGAAAGCTGAGGGACGGGGAGGGAGGACAGGGCCCCAGGGCAAGCAACCCAAACCGCGTGGAGTGTGCTCCACTCTGGGCTGCTGCGTTGCATGAACTCTGCCACTGAAAAATACAGAGGTTACAGGGAAAGGATGGGCAGTCTCCTCCAGCACCAAAAGTTCTTATGCCTTTTGTACTCCCCATCTATTTTCTTGTGTACATTCCCACTCCAGATGCACCTTTCACATACTAGTTACAAAGACCCATTTGTGCTGCTTTACCCAGGCTTAGAGCCCTTTTCAGGGGAGAGGAAAAATCGGGGAAAGTGAAAGCATGAGGTGAGGAAAGCATTTGTTTGTCATTCCCTGAGGTCCAGAGCAAGCAGAAAGTGGTAGCATTTGATGGCCGTGGGAAATTTATTTACATAGCCCATCAGTCAATTTCTCTGCTCTCTGGACACCAGCGCCCTTGGCAAATGTACTACCTGTCACACAGCCATTCTGCACATGAAAAGCGCAGCAACGTGGGGAATTCAAAGAGCAAAATTAATCTATGGACTGTAAAATTTGGCCCTCAACTTGAGGTCATCTATGATTCCAACTCTTCTTCTTTAACAAGAATGGACACAAGTTATTTGGTATCTGTTTACAGTCAATCATGATTTCTTGAAAAGTCAGCCTTCTTCACTGGGCAGGAACCTAAATATCAAACATAGTTCAGAACTGAACTGCTGCTAAGATGCACATCCTCCTGCTTTGTCTTGAGGAAACTTCAATTCAGGCTTCTAATGGCATGTGATTATTAGGATTCCTAAGCAATTTGGAATGGTTCTGAAGAAGTGAAAGAGGTAGTTCCTGCACCACTGAACTAATTTGCTACAAACCTAGACCAAAGTAATAGACAGCAGGAGGCACACTGCAGGAGGCTTGGAGGCTCTCAATCCCAATCACCTTCTGGTTGTTCTCTGAATATGCTCCATTTACCTTTGATAAGACTTTTTGCAAAGTTCTCAGATGCTATTCTTAGAGATTTGGTCTCAGGAAAATTCCACAAAATAATCTGCTTTAGTGGATTATCAGAATTCCATGGAATGCATATAGGAAGTAGTGTCCAAAGTAGGCCAGTTGTGTTGGATCTTAGGCTTTATTATAATGGTCCAGAGGCAGCCTGCAAAACATGGATTGGACCCTTCCAGCTCCTCTGAGTGGCCATCTGGGAGAGGTGGAAGAACCTTTTTGCTTTGTGCTACTAGTATGGATGCATCTCACATGCATTGAGCAAGTTGGAACTAAGACTGCAAGCAGCCACAAGGAGGCTAATCTGCTCTTGGAAGATCAAAGCAGGCCTGGAGTACTCTAGGCTTTACTGCATGTTAATATTAATTAATATTATGCACTAATATCATTAGTGCATAACAAGACATGAAAGTTGTACAGCAGATCTAACATGGCTTTTACTGTAACAAGTAACCAAAGTTGGATCCCTGCAAAATCAAAAACAGAACTGAGTCATTCCCACCATATTGTGAAATAGGTACCTGAGCACAAATCCAAATCTGTTGCCAAAGTCTGAGTGTTTGTAGAATTAAGCTGCAATTGTGTTCTGCAATATATGACCCTAGTTAAATTACCTTCCTGGTTTTCTCTCTTCCACTTCTATCAAACTTCATGGCCATAGGAGTCCATGACTTATATTTAGAATAGCTATGAATATTAAGTTCACAATTTTATCTTTAGAAGAACAGTCTCCATATGCAATCAAACAATGTTTTTCAGTTACTGCCTTTTTCCTGAAAGGAACTCAATGGCTTACATAATCTCCCCCCCCCCCCCACTCCATCTTTTGCTCACAAGAACCCTTTGTGACAGGTTAGGCTGAGAATTCATGACTACCCTAAAAACATCCAGTGAGCTTTGTACCTGAGTGGAGACTAGAACCTGGATCTTCCAAGTCCCAGTCCAACACTCCAACACTATTATGCTTCACTCACTCTCAGTTTCTACTCTATGACCAAGTCTTGCTCAAATCATTTCATGTGGAGCCTTTGCTTATTTACAGCATCCTCATTGCCAAGAACATTCCAGCAAAACTATTGGTCTTTTCTTCTGGACACTCTCAAGTTATAATCCATTGAATCCTTTTCTCATAATGGGTTGCTCCAGGGTATGAGTGACTTCATATTTGAACTAGAGAGTGTGAAGGAAGTTTAACCGGCAGTGCCTACACAGTTTCTGTTTGGGAGAAAATTAAATCCATTCAGGTACTTTCCCTGATGATGCCACAGACTATACAATCCTTTGAGGGAGTTTCAGCCAAACAATAAATTCCCAAATGTTAAAAAGATAGGATATGCATTAGCGATGAAGCCTAGTGAAAGATTACCAGGGAAGTGAGTTTGATTCACTTACAGGTGTTGCATGGAGACTAGAGGAACCTAGGTTGAAATTTCCACCAAGTTATGAAGCTCTTCAAATTGTGAAGCCCATGAACTGAGATCTGCAAGGAAGGAACTTTTAGTTATATGATCATTTAATCAAGTCTGGCCATTGGGAACTTGTAATAGGGCTTTCTCACTGGTGGGACCCTGGTGGTACAATGTAGTGCCCTGAAGGAAAGAGGGGAGGAAAAGAGAATAATCATATGCACCATCCCAAGAAATATGGAGGAAGGATGGGCTACTGATGTAGCAAATAGAGAGAGACACAGCTTGACAGATATAGATCTAGGTATAAATATAGACTTCTTGAGAATAGGCAACCTTTGGGACCCCTGGGCACCCTTGGAAGTTTCAGAAACTGTCCTGGCCACGATCACTGTATTCATCTACCATTAAATAAATTAGAAATAGGAAAACTGTAAACTTTGTTGTAATTCTCTCTTTGATTTTGTTTTTGATTTTTGAAGCTCACAATTGAAAAAACAACCCTACTTCGCTGCCCCAATATAACAGCTGCCATGGATGAGCAGGGTTTGGCACACATGGCAATGAACCTGCCCAGAAGTATTCATGGGAAATTTAAGATGGCAACACCTATAGGCTCCCAATTTGCTTTAAAGCAGTCACAACTTCTGGTAAGAAAATATAGCAATATTTATAAAATACAAATTGGGAGAAGTAGGATACCTTCATGGGCAACAAGGAAGCCCGGGGGAGGGGGCACACAGAGAAACCATGTTCCTACCCTGGAAGTAGACAGTATCAGTTCTGACTTCTGTCCCTAAGAAAAAATATGGATCAAATTCTCTTGGGATATGTATTCAGTTTTTACTTGATTCTTTAAAAATATTATTGGTAAGCATGCTGCACACCTGTAAATTAGTTTCTTTTGGGCAGGAGGAGGATTGTGGGAGAAAAAGTTTGCACATGTTGTCCCCTGGGCAGAAGACTTTGGAGCGAATATCTGGCTGTAGTAGCCCATGGGAAACGGCTGAAGAGACTGACTAATGTATCCCTCAAAGCCCAGCTTTTTGCGTGCTGGGTTCCAAGAAAGATAGTCCTGCCATGTCCCCTGGGGATTTAAGAGGGAGCTTGGCCACTCTGCATGGTGAAGCAAGTTTGTGGCCGCACATCTGACAAAAGAAAAATGTTGGTAGTGTTTTGGTGGTAACCATGGAGTATTACTTCAGGGATTATGCTTACAAATGGATACATTTAATTTTAAAATGAATGTTAGATTGCACAAGGCTGCAAACACGTCCAGAGGGAAATATGTTCCATAGCTGTGCGTTTTTACCTTTCCTTATTTGAGTTTGGATGCATATGGTTCCCTTCTGCCTGTTCATTGTTATGTTTTTCACTGCAGTCTGGATGGTCACAGCCCATCCAGCCATCCAGCCATCCATTGCTATCTCCTGTTCAGCTACAATCGTTTGGGTATGGAAGACTCTCATATAGTGTGAGAGATTTAACTGCAGAACCCTCCAGGTTCCTTCCAGTTCCACACTTGGAGGATTAGTTCACAGAGGCAGACCTATGCATCCCTTGTAATGGCTGTTTCTCACACACAAGTCTTCACTTGGCACTACAGTAATCCATTCCGTTTCAACACAGTAAGAACGAACAGCAGGGATCAAAGGAGTATCGCTAATGTTTAACTCAACATCCAATCTGGCATTGGGGCGGTGCAGGGGAGTTGGTCAGTTTTCTTATTAAAATCAAAGCTCCAGTCTGAATGAAGGCACATACTATCACATTTTCCTGAGTGTGTCATCACCTTCCTGCCTGCAGCGTGAAGTTCCAATCACACTCCTAGCCATTCTCACTTATTGCTTTTCTGGTCTGTGCCATTCTGCTACTTGAAAGAGCAATCTACCCAATGTACTTTATAGCAACCACTTCTGGCACCACGGAACTACTGAATGACCTTCGCTGCAATCATGCTCCCAGAAATAGGTGCATTGATTTCCATTTGCTGGTAGCCCAAATGAACACTGAGAAACTAGAATGATTCCAAATGTGCTTTTTTTTACTGGAAAATTGCAGACACATTAGTAAACTTGAGGGCAGCAAAGAACAATTCTTTGTCTGAACAGTGAAACTTTAAATTTCACTGCTGTACAGCATAGTTCATCCAATAGTACTTATTACAGCCATTTGGAAATATATCTGTTTCTTTTGTGAATCTCCTCATTCTCTTTTCCACCTTCCTTTCTCCTACCATTTCTCAATTTCCTTTCATATTTCCCTCTCTTGATCAGTTCTTTGCATGATAGCTTTCCTCAAAATGTACAAAATTTAATCCTTCAGTACTGGATTAAATTAAATTATATGTACTGTTATAAAGATGTGAGTTTGAAACAATATGTTTAACTGTTTTGTATATAGTTTACGCATGTATAAACATATGAATATATGTAACAACAAATCTGTTCATAGTGAATTAATGTAACTTGTAACAGTTTTTCTTCTTGACATTTTGTGGTGCTCAAACTCCACCAAATTCATTTCACTTAAATATATCACTAAGCAGAATATGTAACAGTCTTCTCTCAGGATTACTTTCTTCTCAGACTGGGTGTGTGCATTCCTGCATAGAAAACTGTCATTCTTAATACACAGTACTTTTAAACAGAGTCCCTTTTTACTGCTGCACTGAAATGAAGGGATTCATTGCAAAATTAACATTTTCAGATCTATGTTACCAGCTGTACATGGAAAATATCAATCTTCCTCCCGTGTGTCTTTTTAAAAAATCTTTGCAAGCATTAACAGCCTAGAGAGGAGGAAATCGTTTAAAAGACCGAAGAAAAATAAAGGACCAGTCATTTGGACTGCTGCACCCATAATCCTGTCCTCCAGATGTATGGAGTATATTGTTCCCTCTATAGGTAGTCTGCCATTCTTAAGAGTTTTAAAAGATTTTTTGGAGAGCATAAGTTAAAAACAGAGCATCTTAGGATAGAATGGCCATGCCAAAGAGGAAAAAACCGTGACTTACCTTTGCCAGTCTGCTTCAGCTCTGCAAGGGATATGGAGAAGTATAACATGCATGCAGTTCTTTAAGGACATGCCCCAGGCAACTTAAACTTTGCCCTTCCCAGGATAAAGCAACTGCATGAGGAAAGAGAAAAAGAACACACCACCCAGGATTGCCTCCAAGGTGAAGATACTGGCGTCAGAATTGGTTAGTCATGCCTTTACGCGCACCTGAATTTATATCCATATATTTCCCAAATGGTTTTGTGAAGATCTCTGTAGTCTATCGTGGACCAGCTGCTTCAAATCTCTGTCCTTGGTGCTGATCGAATAAGCTGTTGTCCTTCTGATTCCTTCCAGCCCTGCCACAGCAGTCTTTGGATTCCAGTTCTATATCATTGCCCAGCTGTTTTTCTTCTAACTTTATCAGCCTTTCTTACACACTGCTTGCTCTTTCTGCCAATCTGTGCCTCTCACATATTTAGATAGCTGAACGCATGTCGTCTTTGTCTTACACACTCTATTCACATGTTGATGATTTTAAAATCCATTTGCTGGAATGTCATACAGAATGCAGATTCAAAGAATTAAGTTGCCCTAGGGGAAAAGGAATAGTCATATAGAATAGGCAAGTGGGTTTTTTTCACTGACTGCATAGGTATGCAAGTTAAAATCATGCTGAGATGGGCTCCAGTTTCAATTCATTCTGGATGCTGGATTCTGATCAATTCTCTATAAGTTCTTCATGCTTTCAAGTATGTTTCATGATAGTTTCCATAGCATTTTAAAGAGAGGCTGGGTGACCTTAAAAACAAAAGTTCTGTCTGAAGAGACTAATAAATACACTATGTAGAGATTTAGTGCAACATTGGGGTACTTAAAATAATAATTTAAAAACTTGTTAGAGAATGTGAGATGAATTTCTTATCCCTGCAAGTGAAATTATAATTGTATATGGATTTCAGTATGTGGGTTTGGAAAATTTGTTTTTACATTTCATAACACTTTAAGAAAGAAAGGAAGACTGACCAAAATTTCCTTTGGCAAAATTTAGGAGTTGGATCTTGGATTTAAATCCAGATGGTCTCAAACCTGAAAAGTTATGGGGAAATAGGCTGCTGATTACTCAGGACCTTACAGCCAGTGTTCAGTATGTGCCTGGAACACTCATCTAACCATTTTCATACACAGTCACTGCCTCCAAGAGAAGTGTTATGTTTCCCATATAGACAATTCTAGTGCATTCAGGATTCCAAAACTGCCTGAAACAGATGCACAGCTTCAAGAGAAAGATGCATGGACTGTGCATAACCAATAAGCAACAAACGTGTGTCTATTTTGCTAAAGTGGATTGTGCCAAAAGTTCTGTTGTACAGTTTAGAACTGGCTAGACACAGTTAATTCAAATGAAAATCTTATGTACTAATAAAAAGTCATATTGCAAAAAGTGTTTAAATTAGATACCAGTAAGGGAGAGGCAACACAGACAAGGAATAGAAACACTTTGTAACAACTCAGTTCAAAGTATGCAAAGATTTAGAAGGGCAGACACCTTGTGCAGACTAAGTTGTTAAACTTTGGAAGTAAAATTCTAGGTTGCAGGGTGAGTGTGTCTGTGTATCATATCTGTGTCAAATTTTGGAATGCTCCTCTGTGTATTCATTATTTCATTAATTAATACATTAATAAAACACTGTGTAGTAAGTTTCAACAAAAGCAGGAAAGGATTCAAGTAGTGTGTGAGTTTCCTTATGTGTGAGTTTACTTCTTTCAAAAAGATAACCCTTTCCTGCATGATAGCAGTGCTGTGCTTAACTGTACTATCACAACATACGCTTCATTCTATATATTCGTTTGCCTATTGCTGTGGATTAGATATGCAGCAATACAAACCTGAAACCGTGGCTTGTCCAACAGTGCTTGCAACTACGGAGGTTGAGCGAGGACGTGAACCTTGGCCTCTTGCTGTAACAATATAACCCCCTGCATGTCCACAAAAATTAAGTCTCATTGACTTCTGTTGTGCTTGTTGCCAGGAAGCTAGATATAGGATTTCAGCTTAAGCCATGGAAGAAGTCAATAACAAGAGATACAGGAGATTTTTCTTTTGTTCTGCATTTTTAACCAAACCAAACTATTTTTTACCATCTGGACTGCTATGTGGATTGAAACAGAAATTCTTCAGGCAGTGGCCTTCTCCAATTTAGAAACATAGAAACAGAGCGAGTCAGAAGGGACCTCCCAGGCCATCTAGTCTGACCCCCCCAGCTCCAGTCAGCTCTGCTCACGACATGCCCACCATTTGCATGTCCAGCCTATCTTTGAACACCCTCACCAATGGGGCCTCAACCACCTCGCATGGAAGCCCATTCCATACTCTTAGGGTCCTAACTGTCAGGAAGTGCTTCCTGGCATCTAAATGGAACCTGGGTTCTCTGAGCGTTGCTCTGTTGGAGCACGTCCTGCCTTCCTCTGCAGGGGAGAACAGGTCTCTACCCACCTCTGTCCCCTGACCTACCTGTATGTTGCCAACAGATCCCCTCTGAGTCTCCACTTCTCCAGGCTGAAGAGACCCAGTTCCCTCAGTCTCGCCTCATACGGCATCCCCTGCAAACCGGCCACCAACCTTGTGGCCCTACGCTGCACTGACTCTAAGCTGGCTATATCCTTTCTGTAATGAAGGGCCCAAAACTGAGCACAATACTCCAGTTGTGGACACACCAGAGTCATATAGAGTGGCAGTAATACCTCTCTTGATCTAGAAGTCACACTTCTGGCTATGCAACCAAGGGTGGCGTTTGCCCTCTTGACCACCGCATCACACTGCTGACTCATGTTTAGCCTGCAGTCAACTAGCACCCTGAGGTCCCTTTCACAAGTGCTGCTCTCCAGCCACTTGTCACCTAACCTGCACTTATGACACCTATTCCTATGCCCCAAGTACAAGACCTTGCACTTATCCACATTGAACGCCATCCTGTTGTCTCCTGCCCACTTCCATAGTCTGTCCAGATCCTTTTGGATCTGGAGTACCTGCTCCTCAGTTGTGGCCACTGCCCCAGTTTTAGTATTATCAGCGACTTTGATCAGCAGACTGTTCAACCCTTCGTCCATGTCGTTAACGAAAAGATTAAACAGGATCGGCCCCAGGACAGAGCCCTGGGGGACCCCACTTGTCACTGGCCGCCATCCTGATTCCCCCCTAATGGTTGCCCTCTGCTTTCAGTCAGTTAACCATGCCCTAATCCACTGGACATGGCTTTGGTGTATCCCAAAACTCCTCAGTTTCTCCACCAAGATATCATGGGGCACTTTGTCAAAGGCCTTGCTGAAATCCAGGTAAACCACATCCACTGCATCCCCTCCATCTAGCCACCTCGAAACCTTGTAGAATTCCACAAAATTGGTCTGGCAGGATCTGTTTTTGCAGGGGAAACAGTCTTTTGGTGACACAGTCTCCAGTTGAAAAACCACAGGGGAAATAATAGGAAAAGTTAGAGAAAAAATTATTCAAAAAGAAATGTGAATTTTTGTGTTGGTGTTTTGTTTCTGTTTTTTAAAAAAAATGCACATTGATGTAAAAAATTGGATGGAGCAGATGATCAAATAGCCACAAAACTTACAATGACCAATATCAACTGACTCATTCATCCTTACAACAATTTGATTTTTTCTTTGGGATAAAATGTTGCCATGCCAGAATAAAATCGTGCCAAGGTAGGAGAGAAAACCATCTCTGAAGCTTAAACAGAGATGTTTTTGCCTTGTGCTTTTCTTGCTTTTACTAAATGGCATGTTTCTACTAAAACAACCATTATTATGAAATTAATTTTTATCAGCAGTGTTACCAATTATACACAGCAGTGATGTGACATGGTCCATGTCAAAAAGTCATAATTTTTATATAAGAACATGCCAAAGTGTAGTAGAGAGTGCTTGACCAAGTAGTTGTACAGATAATTGAGAAAGAAGCAATGTCGTGTTTATTTATTTGAAGCTTTTATGTGCAATTCCACATCTGAACAAATTCTGGAGCAGTGAACAATAAAAGAGAAAAAGAGAAAACATGTTCTAAAAATAATACCAGTAACACCACTGACTGGTCATTCAAGGGCTTCCTGAAAGTACAATGTGTCCAGGAATTGCCAAAAGAAGCACCATTTGGCAGCTGCCGAACCTCCAAGGGCAGGGAGTTGCACAGGACAGGGGCCAACACACCAAAGGCTCTTCTCCAGGTGAATTCCAATTGGGTCATTCATCCAGGTGGAGCTTCGGGAGCATGTCACCTGATGAACCCAGTGACCAGGCTGGTTGCATGCTGCAGTCTTTATCAATGCTATATTTTATTCCCATCTTCTGGATTATAACACCAGATTTTGTGATACTATGTGAGAATTATGAGCTATAAAATTGGAGGCTTTAGACTAATCTTTTTTTCCTTTTGTTTTGTCACCAGCACAGATGTTCAAGAACTGCACTAAGTACTGTACTTAGTGTACTGTACTAAGTTTAATAACGTCAAAGTACTATATTAAGACCACAATCCAATGAGGCTGCCATAACCCTCAGAACTTGGAGGATTATGGGCATCCTATGAAAGACAGAAAGAGTATGAAGGTGAAGATCATGTCTGTGCTTCTACCCTGAGATTCAGTTAGATGGCCAATTTCGCTAAATGTTTTTCCCTGGAATGTGAGGAAGGGAGACTGAGGCACTGACAGGTTGCTACATACAGTGGCAGAGCTTGTCGGCTACCCTTCCTGTCCTCCAAACATGCACAATCCACTGTCTCCAAGGTCGCAGTGACCTTTGTGACCTCAGCACGGCAGCTGGCATGGCTTTTTCAGGTTGGCTGCAAGGATTGATGAACTCGTATTTCCAGCTCTGACCTTGCAGGGAGTTTCTGAGGCCAGAGTGGGAACTCCAGAGAAACCCATGGCCACCTAGACTCTGTACAGCGGCCATAGGATGGCACTCTAAATGTATGAGCTTTAAAGCTAGTTTGTGCATTTCTGCTCCAACTGACAGATCAAGAATTTTGATTGGCACTGTGATAGTTTGAAGAGACAATAGCAAGATAAGAACGTGACAGGCTATTATATACAGCA